CACAGGCTCTGGGAAGCTCTAAAACAGATCCGCCACCACGGGAATAAAGACGACCAGTGCTGTAACAAGGTACATATTCCCAGCAGTGACATCTCTCCCTTGGTAAAATAACAGCATGAAAATAAAGATAACTGCTTTAAAACGAGCCCTTCCATAGTCAAAGGAAAGAGCTTACAGAGGGCCCTTTAAAACGAGACCTTCTAAAGAAAGGGGAAGAGCTTACTGAGGGACCTTTAAAACGAGCCCTTCCGTAGACAGGGGAAGAGGTTACAAAGGCTGCAAGGGGCAGAAACACAAGGACAAATTAGGCCAAGGGGCAAAAGCATGTGCCATGCCAGCTCTACATGGAAGGTGCAATCAGTCATATGAATTCCTAATATTAAAACTTGCAGTTTGAGTGCTGGAGATTTCCTTTTTTTAAAAAAAAAATTTTTAGTTTTTAACACTTTTATTGTAGTATAATTGCTTTACAATGTTGTGTTAGTTGCTGCTGTATAACAAAGTGAATCAGCTATACGTATACATATATACCCATATCCCCTCCCTCTTGCGTCTCCTTCCCACCCTCCCTATCCCACCCCTCTAGGTGGTCACAAAGCACCGAGCTGATCTCCCTGTGCTATGTGGCTGCTTCCCACTAGCTATCTTGGCATGGACATATATATACACTACCAAATGTAAAAAAGAGATTTCCTTTTTATTAAGGAAAATTTTCAATAGAAGCAAAAGTAGACAAAACACTACAATGAACTTTCATCTACTTCTCACTCAGTTTTTAAAATTATCAACTTAAGCCAATTTTATTCATTTAAACTCCCATTGCTATTATTATTTTTAATAACAGCTTTATTGTGGATATAATTCACATACTGTACAATTTACCATTTAAAGTATACAGTTCAAAGGTTTTTAATATATTCAAGCTTAGCAGCCATCACCACAATCAGTTTCAGAACATTTTTATCACTCCAAAAAGAAACCCTGTCCTGATTAATGTCATTTACTCCCAGCCTTAGGTAACCACAAATCCACTGTTTCTATCAATTTGCCTATTCTGCACATTTCATATAAATGGAATCATATAATATGTGGTCTTTTGTGACTGGTTTCTTCCACTTATAATGTTTTCAAGGTTCATTCATGTCATAGCATGTGTCAGTACTTCACTCCTTTTTATTGCCAAGTAATATTCCATTGTATAGATGGACCACACTTATTCATCCATTCACCAACTGATCAACATATAAGTTGTTTCTACTTTCTGGCTGTTATAAATATGTGCATTCAAGTTTTTGTGTGAACATATGTCTTCACTTTTCCTGGGTATATACTTAGGAGTAAAACTGATAGGTCAAATGGCAACTTTATGTTTAACTTTCTGAGGAACTATAGATTGTTTTCCAAAGTGGCTGTGCCATTTTTATTTTTCATCAGCAATATATGTAGATTCCAAAATCTCCACATCCTCACCAACACTTGCAGTCCATATTTTTAATTTCAGCTATCCTAGAGAATGTGAAGTGGTACTTCATTGTGGCTCTGATTTGCATTTTCCTGATGACTAGTGATGTTGAGCATCTTTTCATGTGTTTGTGGACTATTTGTTATCTTTGAAGAAACATTTATTCAGATCCTTCACTCATTTTAATATTATTATTATTATTATTGAGTTGTACGAGTTCTTTATTTATTCTAGACACAAGTTCTTAATCAGATATATGATTTGCAAAATTTTTCTCCCATGTGTGGGTTTTTTTTTTTTCCACTTTCTTGATAGTATCTTTTGGCACAGAAAACAATTTAAATTTTAATGACATCCAATTTACCTATTTTTTCTTCTGATTCTTGCGCTTTTAGTGCCACATTTAAGAAACTGATGCCTAACCCAAGGTCATAATGACTAACATTATATTTTCTTCTAAAATTTAACCATATTAGCTCTAACACTTAGGTCTTTGTTCCATTTTCAGTAAATTTTTGCATGTGTTCCAGTTGTCTTAGCACCATTCGTTCAAAGCAGATCAAGATATAAAAGATTTCTATCACTCCAGAAGGTTCTTCTGTGCCCGTTCCCAGTTCATACTCCCACTTCATCCAGCAAACATCCATTCATTCACTCACTCCACCAAGCAGACATACCCATCCCAGAACCTTGCCAACCTCTCCTAAAAATTTCAGTATGTGTCAGTACTTCACTCCTGTATAACCCTCTCCTAAAAATTTCCTTAATAACTGTTAACTTGAGTAAACATAAGTAATAGGAATTCTGCTTCCTGGATCCACATGGCCTACCCTCTCCTTTAACAGAAAAGAAAATATTCCCATTAATTTGGCATTCCCATTAATTTGGCAAAGGGAAACACATCTTATCACCCTTTCCTGAGTCTGAAAACGCTATTGTTTTGTACTCAGTCCCAGTCAGTGAAAAAAAAAATTTAATGGATTATATAGACAACTACTTTTTAATTGTGTATATTATCTTGGAACTTTACTCTGTGAGGGTGGAAAGTACTGGCTGCTCCATGAGCCTTTGAGTGCTTCCTTGCTCTCTCTTTGCCATCTGTGGCTGGTTGTATGCTGGTCTTTTTGAATTCTTCTCTCTATACCTCCTTATTTGATGAAGTTTCTATGATGTCTTCCAGTTTCGTTATCATGTGGCTTATTGATTTGAATTGTACTTTTATCTCATGTGGTTTACTTAGGAGTTAACCGGGAGAAACACAAAGCAACAGTCCAATTGTCTGAAGAGTAAAGATTTGCAAAATATCTTCTTGAAATAAGAGCTATCCTCTCAAAAACAATTAGAAAGAAGGTACAATATCATTTGCATATGATTCATATGCAAAACCCAAGAGAATCAACCTGAAAAACCCAAGAGAATCAACTGAAAAATGATGACAGTGTCACACATATAACAAAAAATGGGTATCCATAAACATATAAAAAACCCCTAAAAATAAATAAGAAAAAGACAAATAACACAACAGAAAAATGAGCAAAAACATTAACAGGCATACCTCAGAAGAGAAAATCCAAATGGCTGAAAAACATTTGAATAAATGTTCAACCTCTTTAGTAATCAGGGAAATGGAAATTAAAATCACAAGTAATACCATCATATACCTAAAAATTGGGGGGAAAGTTAGATAATGTCAAGTATTAATGAGATCTAAAACAACCGTAGCCTTTCATTCCCACCACCTCCACTTGCTTATCTGTAACCTCCCTCCAGCTGTGAGACACCTGGCTCCCCCATTCACCACAGTTACATAACCATTCCTTTCCAGCATACATCACAGTAGTGTCAGAACTATTGACTTAAACCCCTGTGCTCATTCATTTTTACCCCTCTGCCTTGCTTTGTTCCTCTCCATTGCACTCCACACCACTTGATATGTTTATTTTCTCTCTTCCTCTTCAGTGATAATAGGGAATTTTACTGCTGGGTTCTCAGCACCTAAAACTGCCTTGAACAAAGTAGGTGCTCAACAAATATTAGCTGGATGAATAAATGAATTAAAAATCTTTATTATGGTTTATTACCATAATTACCAGTCTCAGTCAGACCTTTCCTAGCCAGCACTAGTTATCTGGCTCTGAGATAGTTTATCTACTTCAGTCAAATTATAATCATAGAATATAATTTAGACTTTCACCAATTCAACTGACTTCTCTCCCTAATTGCTACAATTATAATCACCAACTGAGGGAATTCCCTGGTGGCCCAGTGGTTAGGGCTCTGTGCTTTCACTGCCGAGGGTGAGGGTTCAGTCCCTGGTCAGGGAACTAAGATCCCGCAAGCAGTGCAGCACAGCCAAAAATAAATAAATAAAACTAAAAACAATTTTTAAATAAAATAAAATAACCACCAACTGAAACAGTGAACTATCACAATCACTTGCAGCTTCTAGTTTTCCTCTAAGGCCTGACTCAAACCACCCTTCCCACCCCCTGCCAAACCTAAACCTCCTAGACACCATCAACCTTATTTAAATTTCCTAGACACTTTCAACTCTGAGTGTTCTAGCTATATATTGATAAATATTTTCACATTTGTTAGGAACATGAACAACATAATCACTATCATAAGTTCAAATCACAGAGTTAAAAGAAGAATTTAATAAAAATTAAGCTGTTAATTTTACATTAACCTTCCAAAAGAACTGTGAGGGCATGTAGAATGATTTTTGGAAAAAGTACAGATTTGCTCTCTTCTCCTTAGCATGGAAGTCTGAGTTTTAAGAACAAACACTAAAAGGAAACATATGGAAAAGATCAGTAACAAGATGAAATCTTGGCCCAAATATGGTCTGCCACGTTTTACATACCAGTGTCTCAAATAATAGATGAGATTTTTACAGTATTGCCAAAACATCTCTTGAAACACTGTACACTTTTTAAAAATCTGAAGTATAACAAAATAAATCTTGTGCATTCTTTATGAAAACCTAATGGAAAATACTATTTTGAGGAAACAAAAACAAATTCCAGGAATCACTTTACCTTATTAGTTTGTACAAGCTTGAAAGAATCTCCCAAAGAATGAACTCAAAGTTCACTGCCAAGAGATACAAGTTAACTCTGTTTAAAATATGAAAATATTGGTATAAAAATATAGCATTTAAGTAGTTAACTGCCACTCTTCAAGAGAGACAGCTCAGTGAAATTTGTAAATTTTCTACATCTGCAGAATAAAAGCAATAACAGCTGGTCAACAGAAGTTCCTAATTCCATCTTATTCAATACTATAAAATTATTTTTTTGTACTAGTAAAAACAGACAAATCAGAGATATACCTTCTGAGTGAATTCCATAACTAAGAGATTAATTTTATTTCAAAGGTTATTAGAACACATGCTAGTGGATGTATTTGGGAGGAAGGTGAGAAAGGGGATAGCTGATAGAAAAGAAGGTATACTTCTTTGTATGGAAAAGTGATATATTTAATCTGTGTCACTAATGACCATCTATTTCATTTTTAAAATAAACTAGATATGAAATGCTGTATGTTTCTCATCCTGGTTCCTTGTCTTAATAAAGGGAAGCACTGGTGTGAATACACGGTATCAGACAACCGAGGTCTCAAGATGACTCTGAGTTCCACCTTAAAATGCCAAGACACTGAGCTCCATGTTACAGTGGACCTTACTTTGAAGAATTCTTTGGCATGAAAATGAAAATAAAACAGTAATCAGTACATGCTGTTTCATTTAGTTCTGTTTGCCTTTCATACTAGAGGAAATTCTTGCCATACCTCAAACCAAAATTAAGGGGAAAAGAAAGAAGTAAGCCACATAAATCTGACCAAGAACACAAGCATTTTAATTTGAGTCCACAAAGTTTTGGATAATGAAAAGAAATACATAATTTTAATTCAACCCAAGTATTTTCCAAGTAGATTATATTTGCTTAAATTGCTATAGCAATTCAAGGGACAGCCCTGCCTGGACACACAGTTACTGTGGATTTTTAAGAGATTCAGTTTAAGAATTTAGGAATTTCTGATTCATTTACAGGATTTGCAAATTCATCAGCCCCTGAAAACTAAAGCAAACTCAACAGGTATGATGATAAAATAATTTTCATTTTTTAAAGAAAATATTCCTACTGTTTAAAATATATTTGATTTAACATTAAAATAGATTATAGCCATCATAAATGCACATTTTTATAAGCAATATCTGGTAAAAGCTACATTAACATTTGATTAGCAAAAATATTCAGGGAAATAATATAGGGAATTTAATTTTCTAACTTAAGATTTACCCAATAAATGATTTTTGTTTAGATTTTTTTTTACTTTGAATGAAAGATTCTCACGTTAATGGAATAATTTTCTGTTTCTCTCTCCCTCTCCCTCTCTCTCTCTCTCAACTTTAAGTGACAAAAAAACAGCGAACGCCTTTGAGCCATACATCTGAGCAATGCTAGAGATTCTGGTTTTAGAGAAATGGGTATTTGTACAAATTTCACTAGAAATTTTCTCAAAATTTCTTTATTAACCAAATCTCTGATGTTACGATGTGTTTGCCTCTTCCTCAAAGAGAAAATACAAGTACTCTATCTAGCACTGAATGTTCTAGTTTCTTGGGTTTCAGTTAATTAAGATCCAAATGTATTATGGCTAAAAATAATTTTGAGACTTTCATATTTTTAATAGCAAAAGAGTTTTACTTCCTTAGGCCTTGTGTGTGACAGTGATGTACACAACTTTAATTTTACAGGGTTAAATTTAAAACTGCTTTGGAAAAAATTCTGAATCATATCCTAATACTTGGTTTCTTATATTTTAGTTTCTGTGGCATACCAACAAAACAATTAAGTTTTTAAAATAATAAAATGCTATGAAGCTTTCCAATTACTTTAAACTTTCCAGGACAAAGTTCCATCTCATTTTGATTAGTAATTTAACTTAGAACTTTCTTGATGAAAGCACGAGTGCTTTTTTCCAGGTAAGAGAAATGTTATGACATAGAAACTTTTTTAGCTATAATATGAAAAATTCATATTAATGAGTAATTTTAAAAACCTGGTAACATATTTCAGTTTGCCTTAAACTTTCTTTTTCACATTTGTGATTTTTCTACTAAACAAGGTAAGGAATACAGGTAGGAAAGTGAATATAGTATATTGTGACAGAAATATTCAATAGAAAATAGAATAGCCATGTTCTCTGTGAAAATGTTCATTTAGAGAAATCACTGTGGTGAAATAAATGCCTAGAAATAATCAACATTAGTAGCAATAAACATCACTAACAAGATGTAATCTATAACAAAAAATCAATCATGCATTCAACAAATCTGTGAGCACTTACAAACTGTGCATTGTACTAGAGTCTGTCAAAAATTAGAGGTTGAGAAATGAGATGATTGACAGTGAGTTATAATGTTTTGCTATGAGTTATGCTATAGGAGACAAGGCATAAATTGCCGAACATAAAAGGCAGAAGTAATAAAAGTATGCCTTGCAAATGGCTGGTAAAAGATTAGCTGAATGAAAAATTTGGATAAAAAGAAATAAGAGAGGACTATAACAGGGAAAATGATCAGGGGTGAAGTTGAGGAGTAAAAAAAATAGAAAATAATGGGTATATCAATGGAGATGGAATGGATTTTAGACCAGAAAACAGCACTTATTGAAAAGGGAGTGGGACAAGGTTGAGCTAGAGGGCCGAGGTCCTCAGTGGATGAGGACAATGATGATGAACTCAGATTTAGAAGAGAAAATGTCTTCAGGGAAAGACCTTTCTTCTTAGGCGGCCAAGAAGACCAAAAGCAGATAATACTAAGAATCCCTTTATTTTCAGAGAGGCCCTCATCATGAGGTCTTGATTCCTAGGCAAAGGTAAATGCTGAACCAAAAGTATCATCCAGGTCTCCTTTTTTCCCAACAATTTCTTGTAGTTGTTGAACAGTCATGACTTTAATTCTCAAATGTAAGATTACTAACTGATGATTACTGATGTTCTAACACAAGGTTAAAATTCAGAGTTCTGATGAGCAGTACTCTTTTCAAAGTTCAACTGTGTATCAGTCAGCTTCTGAGACCCCCTACATGGCCTGACCCTGCACAGCTGCATGTCTCTGCCTCTGCTTCTACTTTCATCTCAACTCCATGGTGCAGTACTTTAAATGAAGTATGACAAGCACTTAAAAAAAAAGTTGATATGTTATAGTATAATGAGTATAAAATACTATAATTTTAATACATAAAATATTACCAACTAGAGAGTAATATGTATAGGGTGTTCTATACCCATTCCTGTGAATCTCCCGAAGTCTTGGCCAAATGATGTCTGCAAAGGTTTCCCTGTCTCCCGCAAGCAGGGTTAAGACACTGGTTCCCACAGCACTGGTATCTCTGCTGCAAACCATATTTCCCTCTGCCTGAGAATATGTCTACTAAATTGTATGCTCATGTCTTCATATTTTCTTCATTTCTGTATTTCCCACCAAGCACAGTGCCTCACCTCTAAAATTCGAGACAATCATCAAGTAACCCAATCAAACTAACTAAATCACTAGTAATATTTGCAAGGCTCTTTTCTAACCATGTCCACACACAACATCTAGTACAGGGTCACTAATTATAGCAGGTGAAAAAGCACTACTAATCATACCCACTGGGAGCTTCCCAGTGCCCTGTCTGGGTCAGCCAGCACTGAACACTGCCCTTTGGGATGAGACCATACTCTTTCACTTCTCCTCCCAGGACTCTATCTTACTTGATGCATGAACACTGCAGTGTGAAGATTATGGCTCAGCTATATTAATGAATTAAACTAGGTGTTCATTCCCAGAGTGCAAATTCCTGAGGTCACAATTTAGGCCTTTAGGTTCTGGTTGAGATTGGCTGTAACAGTCTTATTGTGCTCCTTCAACAGTTAACCACCACATCCCAAACATCTCACCCTTTGTTGCTTACATGTTTTTGCTCATCTCTTCTAGCTGCAAATCTTCCCTATTTCCCTCTGTGAGAACCCTCACATTCCTTCAAAGTCTAATGCAAATGCCATGTCCTCCATGAATCACATAGATAAAAAGGAACAATGGATGGAGTCTATTTAGATTTGCAAAAGGAAACTTTATGAATTTCAAAATCAAAATTGTTTAAAAGATGAAACCATTACCATTTTGGCATTTTATGTAGGAAGGGATAAGATTAAATAGAAGTCAATATATTAGAGTAAATGATTGTCTCTTCTATTTTCTTGGTGAAAAAAGAGGCAAAGTCATCATCTGATTCTCCACTAAGACCTAAACTCCTGGGAGACAGGACAGTGTGTTTTTAATATCTGTGTATCCAGAAATTAACTCCAAAATATCAGTGGAAAGAAAGAAGCTAGGAAGGTAATAGGAAAAATGTATAGAATAATCAATTAGAAACTAATTTTGTAGAATGTAAATGTTGTGTGTGTTTGTGATTTAAAGTAGTTATTCAAGTAGAGTCAGAGACAAAATAATTGGATTCTGCAAACTATTTCACAGGGAAAATTTGAAGTCACAGTTAGTCTTGGACAGAAAACACTAAGCGGAAACATGATAGTTATTTTTAGTATCTCAAGCTTTCACGTAAAATGGAGTGTTCTATGTTCTTCCAAAGAGCAGAAAAGAACATCAGCAAACAAAAGTTGCAGCGGGAAAATTTTGGTTAATATCAAGAATCTCCTAAGTAACTAAAACATAGAGTCTCTCTTCTCATAGGCAGTAAACATCACTGAAGGGGCCAAATAGTCAGTGAGAACATCCAGCATTTATATGGAAAGAGCACTTGGCTTTGGGGTGGAGAGATGTCATGCTATCATTGTAAATCTATAGTCTAGTAAACAAGACAAATCGAGATTCTCTTAAAAGATGGTTACTTAGTCTGGTTCAATGCAGTATGTGACTTTTTAAAAAATACCACCTTATACATTAATTTTGGTCTGAGCAGTACCCATTAATTCTGGACACTCTTTTATATATTTCAATACAGATATAGATATTATGCATTTTATATAACTGTCAATTTATATACAAATTATTCTAAGTTTACTCACTTTTCCCACAATATATTTCCTTTTTGCCTTGTAATAGGACAAAAAAAGGAACATGGGCTTTTCAAGTCCAGTGTGTGTCCTTTTCTTCTTTCTTGGAGTCAAAGTATATTGCCAGTATGAAAGTTATCAATGGAATGAAGATTATGACCAAGAACCAGATGATGTCTACCAACCAGAATTCCAATTTCATCAAAATGAAGATTATGGAGTTCCATTTCATCAGCATACTTTAGGTTGTGCCAGTGAATGCTTCTGTCCACCTAACTTTCCATCATCAATGTACTGTGATAATCGCAAACTCAAGACTATCCCAAATATTCCAGCATACATTCAGCAAGTTTATCTTCAGTTTAATGAAATTGAGGTTGTGACTGCAGATTCATTCATCAATGCCACTCATCTTAAAGAAATCAACCTCAGCCACAACAAAATTAAATCTCAAAATATTGATCATGGTGTGTTTGCCAAATTGTCAAATCTACTACAACTCCACCTACAGCATAACAATTTAGAAGACTTTCCATTTCCTCTTCCTAAGTCTTTGGAAAGGATTCTTCTTGGTTACAATCAGATCTCCAGACTGCAGACAAATGCTGTAAATGGGCTAGTAAACTTGACCATGCTTGATCTTTGTTACAATCAAATTGATGATTCTACATTACAAGAAAAAATCCTTGCGAAAATGGAAAAACTAATGCAGCTTAACCTATGTAATAACAGATTAGAATCAATGCCTCCTGGTTTGCCTTCTTCACTTATGTATCTGTCTTTAGAAAATAATTCAATATCTGCTATACCAGAAAATTACTTCAAAGAACTCCCAAAACTTCATGCTCTAAGAATGTCACACAATAAACTACAAGACATCCCTTATTATATTTTTAATCTTTCCAACCTTATAGAGCTCAATGTTGGACACAACAAACTGAAGCAAGCATTCTATATTCCAAGAAATTTAGAACACCTATACCTAGAAAATAATGAAATTGAAAGTATGTAAAATTTCATTTTTTTGTGTGTATTGTTTTTATTTTTATTATTTATTTATTTAATTTTAATTTATTTACTTATTTAATTTTTATTTTATATTGGAGCATAGTTGATTAACAATGTTGTGTTAGTTTCAGGTGAACAGCAAAGTGATTTAGTTATACATATACATGTATCTATTCTTTTTCAAATTATTTTACCATTTAGGTTATTATAGAATATCAAGCAGTGATCCCTGTGCTATAGAGTATGTCCTTGTTGTACATGTCAATCCCAAACTCCAAATCTATTCCTCTCCCCCACTCTTCCCCCCTGGTAACTATAAGTTCGTTCTCTCAGTCTGTGAGTTTGTTTCTGTCTTGTAAATAAGTTCATTTGTATCATTTTTTCTTAGATTCTGCATATAAGTGATATCATATGATATTTTTCTTTCTCTGACTTACTTTAGTGTGATAATCTCCAGGTCCATCCATGTTGCTGCAAATGGCATTATTTCATTCTTTTTTAATGGCTGAGTAATATTCCATTGTATATATGTACCCTATCTTGTTTATCCATTCATCTGTCGATGGATATTTAGGTTGCTTCCATGTCTTGGCTATTGGAAACAGTGCTGCAATGACATTTGGGGTGCCTCTATCCTTTCGAACCATGGATTTCTCCAGATAGATGCCCAGGAGTGGGATTGCTGGATCATATGGTAGCTGTATTTTTAGTTTCTTAAGGAACCTCCATACTGTTCTCCATAGTGGCTGTACCAATTTATATTCCCACCAACAATGTAGGAGGGTTCCCTTTTCTCCACACCCTCTCCATCATTTATTGTTTATAGATTGTTTGATGATGGCCATTCTGATTGGTGTGAGGTGATATCTCATTGTAGTTTTGATTTGCATTTCTCTAATAATTAGCGATGTTGAGCATCTTTTCATGTGCCTCTTGGCCATCTGTATATTGTCTTTAGAGAAATGTCTATTTAGGTCTCCTGACCATTTTTTGACTGAGTTGTTTGGTCTTTTGTTATGGAGTTGTATGAGCTCTTTATAAATGGAGACTAATTCCTTGTCGGTTGCATCGTTTGCAAATATTTTTTTCCATTTTGTAGGTTGTCTTTTCATTTTTTTTATGGTTTCTTTGCTGTGCAAAAGCTTTTGAGTTTAATGAGGTCCCATTTGTTTATTTATTTTTTTATTTCCATTACTCTAGGAGATGGCTTAGAAAAGATATTGCTGTGATTTATGTCAAAGAGTGTTCTGCCTAAGTTTTCCTCTAAGGGTTTTATAGTATCTGGTTTTACATTTAGGTCTTTAATCCATTTTGAGTTTAATTTGTGTATGGTGTTAAAGAATGTTCTAATTTCATTGTTTTACATGTAGCTGTCCAGTTTTCCCAGCACCATTTACTGAACACACTGTCTTTCCTCCATTGTATAGTCTTGCCTCCTCTGTCGTAGATTAATTGACCATAGGTGTGTGGGTTTATTTCTGGGCTTTCTACCCTGTTCCATTGATCTATATGTCTGTTTCTGTGCCAGTACCACACCATTTTGATGACTGTAGCTTTGTAGTATAGTCTGAAGTCAGGGAGCCTGATTCCTCCAGCTTCATTTTTCTTTCTCAAGATTTCTTTGGCTATTCAGGGTCTTTTGTGTCTCCACATGAATTTTAAGATTTTTTTGGTTCTAGTTCTGTGAAAAATGCCATATCATAGGGATTGCACTGAATCTGTAGATTGCCTTGGGTAGTATAGTCATTTTGACAATATCGCTTCTTCCAATCCAAGAACATGGTACATCTTTCCATCTGTTTGTATCATCTTCGATTTCTTTCATCAGCATCTTATAGTTTTTGGAGTACAGACAGGTCTTTTGTTTCCTTAGGTAGGTTTATTCCTAGTTATTTTATTCTTTTTGACGTGATGGTAAGTTGGATTGTTTCTTTAATTTCTCTTTCTGATCTTTCGTTGTTAGTGTATAGAAATGCAACAGATTTCTGTGTATTAATTTTGTATCCTGCAACTTTACTGAATTCATTAGGAGCATCATTGTCTTTTAAAGACAGAAAGAAGAGTATTTTGACCTTTTAAAGAACAAATCTTTAAAACCATATGCTTTACAAATTGCTGAAAATGGTTGCTTTGAAGCTGGCTAGGGAAATGGCAGAAATTGGCCCCAGAGAAAGGTGTACTCCAAGGTTTATAGTCTTTTCTATTAAATGTTATCACCTTGAACATTGAGAATTAGTACTGTAGAGTATACAAAGAAATATGAGATCCTGAGTAGTAGAACTATAGGTGATTTTCACTTTTTTCTTTTTGAGATTGTTTCTACTAAGAATTTATTACTTAAATAATTTATTTAATACTTAAATAATTACTTAATAGCCAATGAAGCCATCGTTTATTTTGATAATATAAAATTCACTTATAGTTTCATTTTCATTTTACTATTTGATTACTGTAAAAAATAATTCCACTTACAAGTATTTTAATTAATAAAACTATACCCCATAAACATTTTAATAAAATTCAATATAGGATTATGGATGTAATTCAGCAGGATTAATTTTTAATTTGTATTTTTCAGATATCAATGTCACATTGATGTGTCCATCTGTTGACCCACTACATTACCATCATTTAACATACATTCGTGTAGATCAAAATAAGCTAAAAGAGCCAATAAGCTCATACATTTTCCTCTGCTTCCCTCATATACACACTATTTATTATGGTGAACAAAGAAGCACTAATGGTCAAACAATACAACTGAAGACCCAGGTTTTCAGGAGATTTCAAGATGATGGTGACAGTGAAGATCACGATGATCACCATGAAGCCCAAGAAGAAGGAACAGAAGAAAATGTTGACCCTCACTATTATGGAAGTCAAGAATGGCAAGAAACTATATAGGTATACATTTATAACTTCACGAAATCTTATTATTCAGTATAAATTTAACTAAATATGCATAGCTCGTAGTAATATACCTGGAATTCTGTACTAGTATGAGATCAAATTGAATTTAGGTTGTTGACAACATTTGCATCATTACACAGGATTAGAACTTACTCAAAATGATATAAATCTTTAGAAATGTAAATTAGAATGATAAGTAGGAATCAAAAACTACACTTTGAATATTAAATTATCATCATGTTGAGAAAAAAAGCAAGTATGACCACTTCTATTAACAGTAATTTTTCTAATAATGATGTAAGAAGTAGTGTTAGAAGCTAAGAACTGTAAGCCATGTGCTTTAAATCACTATGAGCATAGTGTTTAAATGCCAGAAGGTTACATTAATGTAACAGCAGCTACTCATTTAAGGACTAGACTGTTTTTTTGACCTAATGTCCAGAAAAGCTTTCACACTTGTATTTGAATATCATCACCATGACAGCCACCCACTGGTCCTACCACTTAGAGCACAGAATGATATTCTTGATTTTCAAAAGAGGCTATCGTACTAAGGATCCAAGGCACACAGACTTATGAAATCAACTAGTCTTGTTTTTCTCTCAGAGCACGAAAGCAACAAATATTTAAACCCTGTATTTGGATACCTAAAAAACACCACATCATCTTATCACAATTCATATTTTAGCAAATTTCAGCAATTGTACAAAACAATCTTGACTGTGTTCCAGTGTTTCTATAGTAAATTCACTAGAGAAAGGTTTTATTTACATAAAGATTTGCTAATAAATAACTGCTCTGTTCACAAGGTTAAGTTAATGTTAGCACAAGAAAGTATATCAACATAATTAAACACTTTTATTTTCCTAACACAATATATTAGAAACATATATGTATATCAGCCAATGTTTATTTACATAGTGTTAAAGTTGAATAGAGTTCCTTTGAAATTTGAATGACAGGCTTTGATATCTTCTTTAAATCCTTAAAAATCATATATCATTTTGAAGCATTTTAAGTATGCCTTATAATGAAGTATAGCTTCTATGATGAACTTTCTTGATTTACCAGGCTAATATTTCACAGAATTCCTCAGATAAGGAATAAACACAAATCTGGAACTGCTTACACAGGAAACCCCTCAAACAAACAGTAACAATTTAAATAGTATGCAAAAAGACAAATTAAAACTGTATTTTAAAAGCAGTTGTCTAGTGGTGAGTCTATTTTTCTGGAGATGACAGTTTAAAATGAAGCCTCTAATGCTCTTTATATCTTTGAGTAGGTTATTAGCATGTAGCAGAAACAGAACACCCACATGTCCCCAGGGACAAGCTCAACAATCCAGAATGAGCATGAACAACACTCCATTCATTCATTCATTTAATTAACATTCAGCAAGTCATTTGGTATGCAGGGCTTAGTAATGAGAGGTCAAACATAATACATATGTACACCTGTGACGCTATGAGACACAGGTGTGAGGGTAAAGGTAAGAGCAAAACGATAGTGATGTGGGTAGAGCACATTTTCCAAAGAGGTAAAAAACTTTAAGGACCATCTCCCCCTTTAATGAAATTTTTTAAAATAGGGTTATAAATTTAAACATTTATTATGAGCTAATATGTGGAAAATACTGTGGGTGTTTTAGGAGATCAGAAAGAGAAGACTATTTCTTACCCAGAACAATTTAAAATTTAATGAGGAGCCATCAGGAAAATGCAAATCAAAACCACAGCGAGATATTCCTTTACATTCACTGGATGGCTATAATCAAAAAGGCAGACAAATAATAAGTATTAATGAGGAGGTACAGAAAGTGGAATCCGCTGGTGATGCAGTCAAATGGTGCAGCTGCTTTGGAAAGCAGTCTGGCAGTTCTTCAAAAAGTTAGTTACCTATGATCCAACAATTCTACTCCTAGATATATACCTAAGAGAACTGAACACATATGTTCACACAAAAACATGTACACAAATGTTCATAGCAGCATTATTCATTAATAGCCAAAAAGTGGAAACCACTCAAATGTCCTTCAGCTGATGAAAGGATAAACAAAATGTGGTATATCCACACAATGGAAAATTATTCAGCCAAAAGAAGGAATGAAGTACTGATACATGTTACTACATGGATGAACCATGAAGACGTTATGCTAGTGAAGTCAGTCACAGAAGACCACCTACTGTATGATTCCATTTATATAAAATGTCTAGAAGAGGCAAGTCTATAGAGACAGAAAGATTATTGGCTGCCTGGGGTTGGGGGGCAGGAGAATAAAGGGAAACTGGGGGATGACTGACAATGGATAGAGTCTTTCTTTTGGGGGTGATGAAAATATTCTGAAATTGATTACAGTGGTGATTGTACAAGTTTGAAAATACTAAAAACTATTGAATTGTACACTTTAAAAAAGTGAATTGCATGAGATGTGAATTATTTCAATAAAGCTGTTATTTAAAAATTTAACAGAGACAATAAAATCTAATAACTCACTCTAACAAAAGGAAGAAAGAAATACAATGTGGCAGTAACTGAAACATGATGTGAACACAGATATGCCGACTTTATTTCTGGCCAGGATGTGAAGCAGTTGAAGGCTTCAAAGAGATGGTACTTTGATGTGTGAGTAGGGACTGATTGGCAAGAGTGGAGAAAACAGGTCCTACGGTGATATTAATATAAAGATGTGGTAATTACTTATTTCACCTCTTGCACAGTTAAAACCCTCCAAATTTTCAGAATTCTGGAGCACCTATTTTTATCTCCTCCTAAATTGACAAATGAAAATACATTTTAATCTTCAATGAATAGGCTTAGTGAAGAAAAAACCTGCACAGTTTAGCAGTTCGTAACAAGGAACTTGAAATCAGATATACCTTGGTAGAAGCCTGACTTCACACTCGTAACTAAGCAAGATGACTCTGAGTAAGTTACTTCTTGAAGCCTCCCTTTCTGCATTTCTGTAAGGAAGGTGGTTCTCACAGGGCTGTTATAAGGACAAGTAGAGATAGTATACATACCAAAGCATTTAACAAACTGCATGCCAGTTACAGGTACCCTACAAGCAGTAATTACTGCAGTATGTCCAGCCCAGCAGCCCACTGGATATATGTGCCCCCAGCCATCAGCTGTGCTTCGCATGCCTTGGAGCTCTCTCGGGGAACCTCTAGAATGGAGTTAGCATCCTTCAGGTTCCTTGCAAGGTTCCACTTGTACAAAAGACTAGTAAACAAGACAGAATTTACTAAAGATTTCATTAGGGAGAGAGAGGAGGGAGCTTAAATCATATACCCACCACAAACATATTCCAAGTCATTATTTGATGGTTCAGCTTCCAAAGCACCTCTAGATGGCCTACAAGGGTGGGAAGCAGAGTTCCCTCCCTCCCTCAGAAGGCACTTGGCTGCCTGGCTCCTCTGGCTAGAGTAGTCAAACTCTTCCTGTCTATTAGGAAGAAGAGGTCACCTCTGCTCTCCCTTTAAAGGCATGTATATATAAACACGTCATAAAATGTCCTCCAGCTGCAGGGCCAAGTAAGGAGGCAGGTTAACAACCATCTTTTGTTACTCAAAAATGTCCAGAGGAACTCATGCCTACCCCAAGTATTTCTCATTAAAAAGAAAACAAAACAAATAACCACCAATGCTTTCCCTAGGAGGATGGAAGAATAAAGTTCTACCTCCTACCAGAGCTGCAAACAAAACCAGATGATATATTTATATCAGGAAAGAAAAAGATGAAAATTCATCAATTTTCTCATTACACTTCAAGGTATTAGCTATATTAGCTCTGAGGCTGAACTGTGTGTGTTTGTGACCACTAACAAATAAATCCAAATCATACCATGAACCCAAGCTTAATTAGCAAACATATTAGAAAGGAAATAAAAATAAAGGATATTTAATAAATTTGCTTATAATAATACTGGTTGAGAATGTTTAGCATGTGTTTAAATATTACCTGAAAACTATACATTTTTACTTTATTCCTCAAGTTGGAACCACTAACCCAAAATGCAGATGTATGCATATCACGTAACATACTAAACCAATTCCATGGGGAAAAAACAGAAGAAATGAACCTGTCTCTTCTGTATACTTTTACTATAGCAAAGGATTCATATGACCCATGGAAAGCTAGAACTAAAACCCCAATTTCCTGATTCCAAATACATCTTTTCTAAATCTTAGAAATAAAGAATAACAGCAGCTGGAAACAAAATTAAATCATAACCGCTAAAAATCCAAAGTTTCTTACGCATTCCAATTTCCTAAATAAGTATAACCTGGTATGCCTAGCAAGTAAATAGCACGGCATTTATGGATATGTCTGTCCTTACATGTTTAGGTTGCAAATTTATTATACCTAGACTTATGTACTACTCAGAAAAATTAAAATCACAAATACGATAAATTTTTAACATTAACCCTTCTTTATATTGAGTCATAATTCCCCTCCCTTTAAACTTAAGCCTTTAGTCCGGGAAGTACTTGGGTTCGCATCTTTATCTCATTTGACCAAGCAACTACATCTTTATCTCATTTGACCAAACAACTAGGCTTCAGGCATAAGCAGAGACTTGAGACAGAGATTCAAATCATAGACTTCCCATAAAATCCTAGAATGTTCATTAGAAACAAGTCAGAGGTCATTCCCACACTGAAGGGGAGATGACTACACAAGGCAAAATTCTGGGACACCTTCAAAGATATAAAACCCTATAAAGATACCAAGGATAATGTGGCAGGGTCACCAAAAAGAACTCCACAGAGATAACCCTCTCAATTTTGGATAAATGCCTGCTCTTGAGCCTTAGCTTTCACCTTTTATTACTGTTCAGTGAAAGCTAAACAGCTTTCTACCAGGACACAATAGTTCTTTCTGGAGTAGAAAACAATCTAACTTTGGAACATATTTTATACTGGAAACTATGTAGTAAAGAATTTGACACCAAAGAGGGGTTTGGGCTTTGCTGTCAGCTTCTAGGAGGTAATCTCTATCTTTGTTTAGAATGCTGGTTAACACATCCAATCTTAGGGTGGGACGGGCCATACCAAATAGTCTTAGGTTGGCCATGCCAGAAAGACAACCATGTGATTTAGGATGTGTCATATAGTATCAGTCAACCTGGGGGCAGAGTTCAACCATGTGGGATACTCAATTGATCATGCATATGTAATGAAGCCCCAGTAAAAACTGAACTGTGAGGCTCAGTAGTGCTTTCCTGGTTGGCAATACCCATATTCCTTGTCATACACCAATGCTGGGCGGGTAACGCATCCTAAGAACAATGGAAGCTCTGCACTTGGAACCCTCATAGACTCTGTCCAATGCGTCCCTTCCTCTGGCTGATGTTTATGTGTATCCTTTCCCTGTGATAAAACATAACCATGAATAGAATGGTTTTCAGTGAGTTCCATGAGTCCTAGAAAATTATCAAATGTGAGGGTAGTTTGGGGAACCCCCCAAACTTTCAGTTGGTATAAGAAATGAGGATGGTTTGGGAGACTGTGCTCTCAAACTTTGGCTAACTGTGGGTGGGAACATACATATTTTCCAGTGTAATTCTGAATACTTCTAGAATCTTGCCTTGTATAGTCATCTCCCCTTCAAGTGTGGATGTGACCTCTGACTTGCTTCTAACCAACACAATATTGCAAAGAGATGGCATATATATGATTATGGGTGCATGACTGCTACAAAGAAACTGTGAGATAATAAACGTGTGTTATTTTAGACCCTTAAACTTGTAATAGATAAGCAGTGATATTCTTCAGAAATGCAACATTAGAGGGATACTTCTAAAATGAAAATAGAATAATGTCACTCACTGGCTTAAAAATCTCTCAGTGGTCTCTCACTGGCTGCAAATAAAACTCAAACACCTCAGCAAGGTATAAAAGACTCTCCTTAATCTGACCTCTAGTCCCCTGTCTGATCTCTTAACATGAGCCACCCCCTCACCTCTTCTCTCTCCCTCCAAGCTCCAGCCATATACAACTAATTATCCATTTCCTTAAGGATCTACCCTCCCCACCTGTGTGCTGCTCCCATTCCTAGAGCACTTCTCCCTCGGCCTGCCCCCCACCCCCGCCCCTCATTTTCTCTAGAGAAGTCAGTATGGTGCAGTCTCTGTGGCTTCACGCTTTCCCAGGCCACTGCAGAACTCTGTGCACATTTCTGTGTAGCAGGTCTCTCACTGTGCATTCTGTCGCTTGTTTGTTGCCCTTCTTGCTAACTTACAAACCCTTCCTTTTTTTTTTTTTTTTAACCCTTCCTTTTTGAGGGGAGAAAATGAACTTTGCTTGTCTGAGTTTATTTTTCTGTAGTACTGGCAGAGAAGTGGCACTCAATAAACTTCTACTAAATGAATGAATGCCAATAAAACTATATTTACTGGTCATAATTTTTCAAGAAAAAAATGTTATATCCACAAAATAATTTTCATTACTACGAAGTGTCAAACTGTGTATACCATTAGTAAACTATGAATCTCTAAGATTCTCTAAATTTATTTAACATCTATCCAGTTCATTTCTCAACATCCCATTAAACCTGCCACAAAACAGAAAACAAATCAATATCTGCTGTTTCATTATTAGATATTTTCAAAGACTTTAAAGCCATAAAATTGACAATTTATATCAACCAAAACCAGAGAATATCACAACTAAATTTAAAATAATTCACATTCAAATAAAAACATGAGTATTCAAGTCTTAGTTTATCCAAGCTTTAATTCGAAAAACTCTAAAGCCAATTTTGAATAGAAAAGGGAACAAATTAGTATTCTTTCATTTTCTACTTTTTAATAAAGTATTTATTCATATCCATATTTATTGAATTTTTAGCATAGAGGAGAAAGAAATGTTACCTTGACTGCTAAAAGTACCAAAGAGTGATAAAATTAAAACAAATCTTTAAAGATGTTCACATAGTTATCTAAATCCCACTTCAACTTAAAAAAAATCAAATTTAATATTAAAATAATTAAAACAGCTTCCTTCATTTAGCAAACAAAAATATATTTTACTATCAAACCCCAAATTATAAATAAAATTTATTTTTAAAAAGCTAATTCTGACACTTGAGTTTTTGTTATATGTAACAATATAAAGGGGGAGAGGGACCTCAAATGACTAAACTAAAAAATAATTTGTGCTAAAACTAATTTCTACACCGGAAACTTTTTGGCTATATACTAATTAAAGTACTAGAACAACATTTTTACTCTTCATAAAATTAAGAGCATAGATTATGCTTTAGTTTGGTGTTTTATTTCATTCAAAAAGCAGATGTTTTATCTACTGGGAAAGCACTAAAATGAAAAGAATGATTTTTAAACTATGTCATCTTCATAAACTAATATTCACAAAAACATGAGTATTTATTACACAAGGTAAAAATAACAAAATTATGGTGAACAGTAGAAACAATCTGAGTACAGCAGTTACAAATATTTTAAGCACAGTTCTCTAGTACAACACACTACATTTCACCCTAGAGAAAGAATGTTGGCAAAGATCTCTACCACATGGAAACTGCTTTGAAAGCTGTTGGGCCCTGAAATTCTATTCAGCAGTTTGAAATCAATCCACAGCTTTTCTCATTCACCCTCCCACTTGGGGCTAATGCAAGCCATGACCATCTACTGAGGAAAACCACAAAAAACTTCAAAACAGCTACAACGGTAGGCTCTTTTTTCACATATTATTTTAAATATCGTTTGTTAAAATGTGACACCTAACAATCTTAGTAAATGTAAAGGCCATCTTTAATTTTTTTATGTTTCAGTTACTTTGAACAATTATTTTTTAACAAGCACTTAAGTATATCATTGCATAACTTTAATGTCCATGCAGGCAAGAACAAGGTGCTGCAAAAGTCACAAAACCATGTTATTCTTAATTTTCAACCATTGATTTTTGACAAACTGGTATCTACAATGCAGCACCAGGAACTATGAGTAATTCTGTCTGAAGTTACTTATGAAAAAGTGTAAAATGTGCACCACCAGATAAAATCCAGCGGTGAGCCTAAAAATCTTTCCCATTTCATTCCCTCTAAATCTTTGATTAAAGTTCTATATTTTTTCTAGTCTGCAATACTATTTTTGCATTTTTCATGGTTTAAATTTTAGAAGAAATGCTATTAACTAAAAGAAATGATATCTATAAAAATTATAAAACTAAGAAAATTTAAATTATGGCTTTTCCCATATTCTGTACCACCTAAAAAAGTGTTAATGACTACTTTTCATAATGTTAAATTTAAAATTTAATTATAAAACTGTTCCTGGAACTTGTTTCTGCTCATACCAATACAAATCAAGAGTTCGTATAAAGGAGCAAAGTTGAAATATGATATTTTTTAACTCACATGAGACAGATCATGGGACTTCATTTTAACTGTTTATATTACAGGTATCCTAAGAAGACTTCAATTACAAACAAGTACCTTTGTTCAAGGCACCTAATTATTAAAAAACTGAAATTATCAACATTGCTTGGATTTTTGATAGAAAAGGAACTAAAACCATTTTCTGAAACTATTTTTCAGAATGTGGCTGATACATAAAAACTTTTAGCATCTAATTAAAGATCACTAAGGGTTAAATACTTGTTCTCTGGTCCCTACTGCGTATACCCTGCCAAAAAGTCCTCTAAGCTTTTAAATATTGCTTCAATGGTCTGCGTTTTTATTTCCAGGGTAAAAGAGAGTATTGTCCCACAGTCAGCAGGCCACTAGCTTATTAACTTCCAGTCACTTTCATTTTTGCTAAAATGAAGACTCTGAAATCTACACTTCTCCTGTTCCTGTTTGTGCCTCTGATAAAGCCAGCACCACCATCTCAGCAGGATTCACGCATTATCTATGATTATGGAACAGATAATTTTGAAGAAAGCTTATTTAGCCGAGATTATGAGGATAAATCCCTGGATGGAAAAAGTATTAAGGTATTTTATTTCTACTCTAAATTTAATTTCTAAAATGGTTGCCCATTTAAATGTATGTTTTTGTTTTTTCTGAATGTGTCTGATAAGGTAAGAGGAAAGGAAAAGCACATTAAATGCTTCAAAATAATTCAAAATAACTGTCCTCAGATGATATTTTTAAAGTATGCATGCTTCCCAAATTAATACATAGAATCCATAATAACCAAACAGTATCTATAGCAACCAAAACATAAGATTTAAGGAAAACTAAAATTTAAAACATAAAATTTAAGGAAAATTAAACTTTGAGAGGATCTCTGACCATTTGAGATTTATATGTTAAGTAATAATACATAATGTCCTCTATATGCATATTAAAATAAAATAGGAGAAGTGTGTATTAGGAGAAATAAAAATGAATCACCAGCTTAAGGTTTATTGTTTTAGGAAGAAGTGGTTCAAGGAAATAAAGAGTACTGCTTATTTTGTATCTACAGCATTTCACAATAATTCACATATGTCAAAAAATGAAAACTACTTAATATAGCTTAATTTTTCATCGGTTTTAACAATTCAGACTCCATCACTTTACCAAGTAACGGTAACTGTCATTGTCTACAGAGATGACTTTCACACCACATCTTCATATTCTACTTGTACGGGGGCTAAGTAATTACTTGTGGTTTTACTGGCACACAGAAATGAACACTGGGAAAGGAAAAAGTTAATACAGCACATAAGTATCTGTTGCCTGCCTACCGTGTGTCTGTATGTGTGTCTCTCTCTCCCTCTCTCTCTCTCTCTCTCTCTCACACACACACACACACACACACACAAATGGAAAATGAGCAAAGCAGCCAAATATATAACAATGTTGATTGCTTCAAAAGTTCTCCACTATAAATAAGATGACAAAGATTTTAAGAGTGAACAGTTATAATTGCTTCTTTCTTTTTTTAGTACAGATGAGCAAATGTTAACTGTACAATTTCTTCCAATGGAGTTGGTTAATATGCTATTATTATTATTATCACATATATATAATATAGGTATATATATATATAGTTATAGCTTAGGGAAAAAAAAGGCCCACTATAACAACAAGTTGTTGGCTCACATGGCTGATTTGAATCTATCAATCAGTTTAAAGAATACTTTCAAAAATCTACTGGTCCCTAAAAAGTAGTAAATAAAAAGTTCTCTGCTTCTTCTCTTTACATTGCTTTAGGATTCTCTCTATCTTAATATAAATGCAGAGACCAAGATATTTGTGAAGTGGAGTAGAATTCAACGACATTTAATAGACAAATGGAAAGGGGAGAGGCTGTTCAACCAGAACACTTACGGGAGAATGTTGTCTGTAATCCCTCAGTTTTACCGTCCAAATTGGTCCTTGTCACACCTGATAATAAATGTTTATTTTTTCAATAGGAAAAAGAAACTACGATAATAATACCCGATGAGAAAGGTTTTCAATTACAAAAAGATGAGAGTACAAAACCATTATCCCCCAAGAAAGAAAATGATGGTAAGTATGAATACTCTAGGATCAAATTTTTTAAAGGAGCTTTAAAAAATAGCTTATAATGGAACTTTATTCCTTATAGTAATCAAAAATTGCATCAGGATATAGTGGATCCAAACAGTGGAATTTTATCTCTAATGATAAAGTCAAACAGGTATATTGTGAGTTTTCATCATTTGCCATTCCACATTATGAGTGAGAAATGTGGAATAGGAACATTCAAGAACAAAGTTTAGTCTACGTTTAGCCTCTACAAAGTGTGTGCTTCTCTCTATATAAAATCAGTTCAAGAAATACTTGTTAAACACCAATTATTTTCAAATACTATGTAGCCTGAGGATAAAGTAAATAAAATATAATTCTTGCCTTTAAGAAACTCACAGAAGAGAGACATAGTTATATACATAAATAATTATAATGTACATTTCAATTAAAACAATAGAAAACTTATAAAATTACAAAGTCCTACTTATTAGTTTCTATTTGGTTTATTCTTGCTCTATCACAGAACATTACTTCACATGACAATATGAAAAAAAAATCACACACTAATTTCTATATTGCTACAATAAAATTAAAATGGACAAAACCAGGGCTTCCCTGGTGGCGCAGTGGTTGAGAGTCCACCTGCCAATGCAGGGGACACGGGTTTGTGCCCTGGTCCAGGAAGATCTCACATGCCGCGGAGCGGCTGGGCCCGTGAGCCATGGCCGCTGAGCCTGCGTGTCTGGAGCCTGTGCTCCGCAACGGGAGAGGCCACAACAGTGAGAGGCCCGCATACCACAAAAAAAAAAAAAAAGGACAAAACCAGAAAATATATCTTAAGAAATTTGAGAAGTATCATAGTGAAAGTAGACTTGAAGAAATGGAAAGACATTCTTTGCTCTTCAGTAGGATGATTTAATATCACAAAGATGTCAGTGCTCCCTAAATTTACAACAATGAACTTCTTTAAAGAGCTGGTAAGGCTGATCTTCAAGTTCAGAAGGAAAATCAAACCTGCATGAAATCACCTATCAGAACATGTTTTAAAGCCTGCATACTTAAAATAAGTGTAATACTGGTGTATGAACGAAAGTCCACAGACAAAAAGAAATACATGTAGAAATTTAGTAAATAATAAAGGTAACATCTTTAATCACTGAAGCAAAGATGATATTTTAAAAAACTGGGGCTGGGACAACTAAGTAGTCAACTGACAAGGGATACAATTAGATCCCTATCTTACACAGAAAAACTCCAAATAAATTAGGGTCTAAATGCAAAAAGTGAAACCATACAAATAGTAGAAGATAACCTGGGTGTGGGGTATCTCAAACTCCAGAGACGATAATAGAAAAGATCAATAAATTTGACTCCATAAATGAAACATCTGCATGGCAAAAACCATCATAAACAAAGCCAAAGGCAACTGAAAACTGAGAAAAATATTCGTAATATATATCACTGATAAAGAGTTAATATCTCTAATTTCTAAAGAACAAGTAAAAATCCAGGAAAAAGAAACTGATCAAAACTCCACTGGAAAAATGGACAAAAGATATGAACAGACAATTCACAAAATGATATAAAAATGACGCTTAAACACATAAAAGGTGTTCAATCTCACATGTAAGTTTAAATTATGCCGAGATAAAATTTTTTAACCTATCTGACAAATATATTAATATATTCCATTGGCAAAACTGTAGGGTATCAGACACTGACATACGTTGCTGGTGGTAATAAAAACTGGTAGAATGGACAGGAATTTGGTAATATCTAACGAAACCTAATATGCATTTACTTTCTGACACAGCAATTGACTTCTAGGAATTCACCCTAAAGATATACCTCCAAAAGTAAGAAAACACATATGCAAAATCTCTGAAGCATTGCTTGCATCTGCAAAATATTGGAAACAATCTAATTATCCATACATTCAAGAGTGGTTGAATAAAGTATGGTACATCCACCCAGGGGAATACTATGCAGTTGTAAAAGTGAATGAGGATGATCTCTATAACTAATATGGAGTGATTTTCAGAAGAGATTATGTGAAAAAAAAATGCAATAGAGTATCTACAGTATGCTGTCTTTCACCTAAGAATGAAGGGGGGCTTCCCTGGTGGCGCAGTGGTTGAGAGTCCGCCTGCCGATGCAGGGGACACGGGTTCGTGCCCTGGTCCGGGAAGATCCCACATGCCGCAGAGCGGCTGGGCCTGTGATCCATGGCCACTGGGCCTGCGCGTCCGGAGCCTGTGCTCCGCAACGGGAGAGGCCACAACAGTGAGAGGCCCGCGTACCGCAAAAAAAAAAAAAAAAAATGAAGGGGATGTAAGAGAATATACATACATCAGCCCACTTTGTGAAAAGAAATTCAAGAAGGGTAACTAAAAAACTGAGACTAGTTACCTATGGGTTACAGATGGGACTAGGGGTAAAAAGGAGGGGGAGATGGTAACTAGGGGTACTAGGGGAAGGTGCTAGAACTTCTTGGAGTATACACTTGTTGTGCAGATTTGATTTTAGAATAATGTTATATTCAAATAAGCAAACAAACAAATACATTTATAAATAAAACCAACTAGGATAAGATAAAAAGAACCCAAATTGGCAAACAAACAGAAAAATAGAAACTTAATTGCATTTCAAATCAATAACATAACACACTACAGGGAGAAAAATCTAATCGAAGTAATCCTTAAACACAGTATTTTGACTGTATACTTTCAGGCTAAAGACAAAATAAAATAGGCAAATACTAAAATTCTAGTGGGTAGGTTTGTTTTCCATAGTATTATAGGTTATCAATAATGAAACTACTTAATGTGTGTTCTGGGACTGAGTAAAGTAAATGCACAGTGGATCACAAGAGCCAGGTTTCTCATTGTCAGAGAAGGGTGTTACAAATATGGTAAGGGGGAAGGCTAAAATGAACACTGTTGAGATGGAGTGGAATGAAAGATATCAGGATCAACTCCTGGTTTGTATACAGAGATACAGAAATAGATATATACATGTTTGCCTCCCTGTATGAGTGTGTATGTTAAAATATGCATATCATGTGCTTATGTTTTCGTATGAGCATATGACACATATTATATACATGTATATATGTATGTCTGCATGTGTGTACTTGTGTATTATGTCCATGTCCATATACCTATACTTGTGTGTATGTATGTGTATTATATATGAAGAGAGCGCCAAATAAAAATACATATATTTCCCAGGTCCCTTTGCTGAAAAAGCCCAGAAGCAATGAGATCCCAGTAGCAATGAGCACATCCACACCCAAATGTTGGTTTCTAGATACCATCCTCCACTAAAAGGGACCAGTACTCCTTGAAATAATAGCTGATTTCAGGCCTGGGGCAAGGAAAGGGCAAGATTGGTCTGGGACATCTTAGCATGCCAGAAAATAAGTAAGTTCTCAAAAAACAGTGGGGACATTTAATTTTTAAAATTAATCAAAATATAAAAAATACATAGGTATAAATGTGTAAAAGATGTACAAGACCTGCTCATTGAAATCCAGACAATATAAAGGGATCAATTGTTATTCATTAATATAAAAAATGTTTGCTCTTCTTTTTTTTTTTTTCTGGCCCCACCATGCGGCATGTGGAATCTTAGTTCCCCAACCAGGGATGGAACATGCACCCCCTGCAGTGGAAGCATGGAGTCTTAACCACTGGACTGCTGGGGAAGGCCCCAAATGTTTGCTCTTCAAAAGACATTGATAAGGAAATAAAAAGACAAGCCACAGACTGGAGGAAAATATTTGCAAAACATAAATCTGACAAATGATTTATATCTACAGAAAATACTTTTATAATTCAAAAATAATAATACAAAAAACTATTTCAAAAAACAGGCAAAAGATATGAATAGACACTTCACCACAAAAAAATATGTGGATGGCAAATAAGTATATAAAAAGATGCTTAGCACATTAGTCATTAGGAAAATGTAAATTAAAACACGCGATACCACAACAAACCTTACTTGAAAGGCTAACATAAAAAAGTCCAACCATACATACCAAATGTTGACAAGAATGTAGAGCAACTGGAACTTTCACACACTGCTAATGAGAATGTAAAATGGCACAACCACTTTGGAAAACACTTTAGGACATTCTTCAAAAGGTAAAATACATACGTATAATAAGACCCAGCCATTCTACTCTTAGGTATTTATCCAAGAAAAATGAAAACATTAAGTCCATACATAAATGTTCATGGCAGCTTTCTTTGAAATAGCCAAAAACTGGAAACAACCCAAATGTCCGTAAGAGATGACAGTATAAATGGTGTTTATTGAGACAATGGAATAAATTGGAATGAACTCAGTAATAAATAGGAATGAATTACTGATACATACAAAATTATTTTGAGAAATAATTATGCAGAGTGAAAGAAGCCAGACAAAAGAGTGTATACTGCATGATTCTTTTGATATAAAAGTTTCAAAAATGCAAACTAACATATAATGACAGAAAGGAGATTAGTGGTTGCTGGGAGGGAGAAATTACCAAAGGGCATGAGGAAACTTTTGGAGTGATGGATGTGTTAATTATCTTGATTGTGGTGATGGTTTCATGGGCATATACACATGTCCAAACTTATAAATTATACAAATTAAATATGTGCAACTTACTGTATATCATGGAACCATAAAAAGGCTGTGGGAGGATAAACAGAGCTTAAGAGTTCTCACTGACTAATCTGTGACAATGTGATTATCAAAATAAATAAGACAGTAACGTATTACGGGATACGTTACCCATGGGATGAGGAATTCGTAAGTTCATACTGACAGAAATAAACAAATAAGAAGGGAATGTTCCACCTTATATCAGAATGCCAACTAACAAATAAAGAAGAAATGATGGAATTAGAAAATAATTGGCAATTATCCTAGTGATAAATGATTCAAGTAAGAATCTTCAACAGATGATAAAACTAGAGGGTGAAAGTTTGATGACAAACCTGATGTTTAGAATCTCAAAGTACTCCTCTAGAAGGTACAAATTACAAAGTGAAAAACAGTAATTTTACAGAGTGAGAACCATGGCAGGTACTAACTGAACCAAGTGACCAAAGACAGCATCATAAGGAATGAGACAGATACATAACACTAAGGATGTAACATTATTTCCATGGTATTCCTGCCAAAAAATGAGGAACTTCATATAAACCCTAATTGAAAGATATTCTGCAAAATAAGTGCCCTGAAAATAAAAGTTTTAAAAAATTCAAAAATTTCCAAAACAGTAAAAGGTATGAAAAACAAAGACTAAGGAACTGTTGCAGGTTGAAGGAGATGAAAGATGCATGACAAGTAAATGCAATGAATGACGTAGGGTACAATAGGGATTCTAACAGTACCCACGATGACTCCAATTTTTAAGTTAATAGTTTGCTTATTTAACTAAGTGGTTTCTAAACTCATTAGAAATGTGTTTGCACCACTCCAAGTGATAAATCAAGCTTATATTTACCTTAAGTCCTGCTTTATGATTTTTGATACTCCAATGAAGAAATGTAACTGTCAATCAATTCAGCAATTAAATGATCACTGCTAAAACAGATAGGAGAATAAAAGAGATTGTGGATTACAGAATTTAAAATAAAATTCTGGTGAGTTATCAGATACAATATAGATTACTAGCTATCATGGCCATAACGTCTTTCCTGTTATCATCCATAATTCTGTAAAGGATCTTTTCAAATTGGTAATAACATTCATGATAGCAAGAATTTTAACACTAGAGGTCAAATATTTTTAAACTACTGATTTTTATGATTTTTGTTTCCCAATTTAGAAATGCCCACATGCCTGCTATGTGTTTGTTTAAGTGGCTCTGTATACTGTGAAGAAGTTGACATTGATGCTGTACCACCCTTGCCAAAGGAATCAGCCTATCTTTATGCACGATTCAACAAAATTAAAAAGTTGACTGCCAAAGATTTTGCAGACATACGTAAGTTAATTTTAAATAAGATATTAGTGTTAACTCATGTTAGTATTTAACTCATATAAACACAAGTTTCTAGGTACCTGTGGCCTATCACGTGTACGGTAGTGACTGTTGAGGTATTTTAAGTATCCACCACACTTCACAAAAATCCACTGGTTTACTGGTGAATCTCCTTTCCATTCAGATGTTCCCTGTCATCTTTCTTTACTGGTGACTACGGAGTCTATGTTGACTGCCCATCTAACATATGGGCAACTATATCTTCTCAACCCCAATATTTCAAGATCCATTTGCCTCAGCCAGTCAGCAATACAAATATAATCAGGATATTTCTCCAATGACAATGTTTTATTTTCTACTTTCACTATAAAAACATAGAAACTGCTTTTTCTTACTTTAACTCATGGTTCTTAAATCTGGCTGCATATTAAAGTATTTTTGATACTAGGTTCTAGTCCCCAGAGATTCTAATATAGGTCTCTAAATTTAGAGGCCCAGGTGTTGTCATTAACCACAACCAAACTCTTCAGATGACTCTAATACAGAATTAATGCTGAGAGCAGTGCCATTTAACTCCTTCCCAGGTCATTAAAAATCCTGGACTTCTGGTGTCCAATCAAAGCTTACAACAACTGCCAGGAGAGTGTTGCCATGAGCACACCAAAATCCCCTACTTCTGCAGTATGAAGTCCAAGTCTGGATCACTAATCCCTCATAAATTTTCTAGATTCCAATGCTGTCAAGGGCTTCTGAAGAAAGTCACATCAAGAAATGCACACTGGCCCCAAGTCAAGGGCTTCTGAAGAAAGTCACATCAAGAAATGCACACTGACTGCGCTACACATTTACAAGATTAGCCATAACTAAATTCATGCTGTCACCAGTAGCTCCCAACTGACTGAATACAGTTGTTCCTCTTTTGTGGATTCCATGTTTTCAAACTCACCTACTTGATAAAATTTATTTGTAACCCAAAACATCAATACTTCTGGCACTTTCATGGTCATTCGTAGACATGTGCACAGTGGCAAAAAATTTGAGCCATCCAGGATAGGCTGAATGAGATGCTTGGCCTTTTGTTTCAGCTTTTATACTGTAAACAAGTATCCTCTTTACAGTCTACTTAGTGCCACATTTTTCACATTTTTGTGCTCTTTGCTGTTTAAAATGCTCCCTAAGTATAGTACTAAAATGCTGTCTAGTGTTCCTAACTGCAAGAAGGCTGTGATGTGCCTTACAGAGAAAACACGTTAGGTAATCTTTATTTAAGTGTGAGTTACAGCGTTGATTGGCTGTGAGTTCAATGTTAATGTATCAACAATATATATTAAGTAAGATGCCTTTAAAAAGAAACACATAAAATTTTCCACTGATTGGTTGATGAAAATGTGTGATGAGAGGCTCTAACCCTGTATATTCCCTAGGAGCAATGGTTCCATATTCACTAATTCAGCATTTACACTGACCTTACAGACATGACCACCTTGAATAGTGAGAAGGGACCATATTTTCTAATCATCCCAGCTGGACAAAAGTGATGCACACATAAATACACACATTGAATTTCTCTATCTCTCAGTATGCACCACGGTAACAAATTAGGGAACATTTTTGCCTTTATTGTTGTCAAGCAATAAGGCATGGAGAGATTAAGATATCCTCAGTCACAATATAACAGGCTGGCAAAAAATCCAAAAATATTTACATGATTTTATTCAATCAGATGTAATGCTTACTTTCCATAATTTGCAACAAAAAGTTTCTTTCAAACTACTTGAGCATACTGAGAATTCAAACAAAAAAGGATGGAAGGACTCTATTAACTTTAAGTTCCCTTCCAAACCTGAGGTTTTAGAACTTCAGTGAGAAAGACCGTCAGTGTCAAGCACAGAATAGATGCTCAGTGTTCAACAAAACTTACTGAGCTACTAATTGTAGACACTCTGCTAGGCACTAAAAATAAAAGATGTTTGAATGACCTGATAAACAAATGCTTTTCCTCAGTCCATACAATTAAGAATTTAACTTCATATATTTTTTAAAAATTTCTTATTTTTTGTATATTTTTCCTTCAAGCTAACTTAAGGCGACTTGATTTTACGGGAAATTTGATTGAAGATATAGAAGACGGTACTTTTTCAAAACTTTCACTGTTAGAAGAACTTACACTAGCTGAAAATCAACTACTGAAACTTCCAGTTCTCCCTCCCAAGCTTACTTTATTTAATGCAAAATACAACAAAATCAAGAGTAGAGGAATCAAAGCAAATACTTTCAAAGTAAGTATTTTATAGTATGACTGAGCACAATATAAAAATATCGGTTATACAGCCAATAATAACATGAGAAAAGAAAAAGAAACTATGGTCTAGAATTTTGTTTTAAAACTATTTTAATGTAATAAATGAAGATATTATTTACATGATAAATAGTGATACTACTAGGCTTATTCAGTCTAGCTTATGCCTGTACCTCACTTAAAATACCTTTATCTTGTTTCATGGGACTACCTGGTGTCACATCTTTTTCCCTTGTTCACACAGCAATATTTATTTATACAGACAAAGTTTGCACCCTCGTGGCACCAACAGTCTGCAAAACCTCAAAATGGGAGTGTTCCTGTGTTTCTTTTTTCCTTACAATATTAGTAATTTACAAACACCAGAAAAAATCATGTTCTAAAGTAAACACTGAATTTTATTTTTAATACTTAAAAGTATTAGACCATAGACTTCTGTAGGTAGACATTCTTTTGAATTCCATGATGGCACCTAATACAAAATTCTGTATGTAGTAAAAATTACATATATTTCTTAATTTAGTAATACAAGAAAATAAATGCACATGAAAAGGGCAAGGTGATTTCCTCTGATTTAGATAGCCAGGTTGTCTCAAAATGCAGAGCCTACAGGGAAGTAACCTCAGCCCAGGACTTCCATAGCTCTATGTACTCATTCCCAGTCCTGGAAGAAACCCCAGATAAAAGGATGAGACAATCACGCTACTGTTGGCAACAGAAGACCTCGTTCAAAAGGAAGGTTTGGGGCTCCCCTGGTGGCGCAGTGGTTGAGAGTCTGCCTGCTGATGCAGGGGACACGGGTTCGTGCCCCGGTCCGGGAAGATCCCACATGCCGTGGAGCGGCTGGGCCCGTGAGCCATGGCCGCTGACCCTGCGTGTCCGGAGACTGTGCTCCGCAACGGGAGAGGCCACAACAGTGAGAGGCCCGCGTACCGCCAAAAAACAAACAAAACAAAAAGGAAGGTTTGTAGCTCCTTAGGACAACTCCTAGCAGTTCCTCAGAAGTTAAGGGACTCTTAGGGGACTTTTAAAAACTGGACTCATTTTAAAAACAAAAAAATGTTTGTAATTTGAAGATATGCAATTTGAGCAGGTAAACCTTTGAAAAACTGACATGTTAAAGACCTACAGGAGTAGGGACTTCCCGGGTGGCGCAGTGGTTAAGAATTCATCTGCCAACGCAGGGGACACGGGTTTGAACCCTGGTCCGGGAAGATCCCACATGCTGTGGAGCAACTAAGCCCATGCGCCACAACTACTGAGCCTGCATTCTAGAGCCAGTGAGCCACAACTGCTGAAGCCCGTGCATCTAGAGCCCGTGCTCTAGAAGAAAAGCCACCACAATGAGAAGCCCGCACACTGCAACGAAGAGTAGCCCCTGCTTGCTGCAACTAGAGGAAGACCAAGCACAGCAACAAAGACCCAATGCAGCCAAAAATAAATAAATAAATTTATAAAACAAAACAAAACAAACAAAAAAGACCCACAGGAGCTAATCAACATTTCACAAAAGGAATGTTTGAATATTTCGGATTTTACACGTGGATTACAGAAGGGATTCATGACAAGTTGGCATGAAAATGATAAACTCAGCTATTTTCTAGTTTTGCTTAATGCCCTAGGCTGCCAAAGCCACTGGTAAAATCAGGTTACTCTAATCCATGTTAAAGAGGCCCACTGGGGAAGACAGGAGCTTGGTGCCCATATGGTGAATTGTAGGATGCTTAAGAAAGGATTAGGGCTTCCCTGGTGGCGCAGTGGTTGAGAGTCCACCTGCCGATGCAGGGGACACGGGTTCGTGCCCCGGTCCGGGAGGATCCCACGTGTCGCAGAGCAGCTGGGCCCATGAGTCATGGCCGCTGAGCCTGTGCGTCCGGAGCCTGTGCTCCGCAACGGGAGAGGCCACAGCAGTGAGAGGCCCGCGTACCGCAAAAAAAAAAGAAAAAAACAAAGAAAGAAAGGATTAAAATAACAGCAAATTAATTCTAAAAAAAAAAAAAAATTACCAAATTCTGTCACAGGATGCATATCAAAGGTAAGGTAAAAGATTATTGTCAAGGGAAACTACATCTTGAGATCATATTATAAAATTATACACAATAATGGATTACTGATCATGAAGAGTAATCCAATGTAGAGTCCTTGGGGTGTAAAAAAGTCATACTTGTCTACGTATTTAATAAACTGCTTTGGGAGACATCTTACTAACAAGCATACACATCTCTTAGGAATATTCATTTTACTACAAATTGGTGGAGCTGAAATGGAAAGTTGTGAAGGTTCAAGAGAGGTTATGGCAGTACCAGGATGCAAATATAATCCTGCATAAGAATTAACCTTATTACCTGCTCCCAAGAGAAATTTAAAGGGCCCCAGAAATTGGCATGAGGGCTGAGGCTGAATATGATGGTATTCCGAAGTGAGATGAGTGGACAGAAATGTGGGGATGCATCAGGACTCTACTGCCCTTCGTAAAGGACCAAATATACTACTTGTAAAACCAAAAGCACCGAACAACAACAAAGCAAACAAAAAAATCCCACCAAACCTAAAACTACCATACAAATGATTAATAGTATTGATATGTGTCTATATCTATATCTATGTATTTATACATATATGTGTGTATATAGCTTGAATCATGTGAAGAAATGCAATGAGCTCAATAACACTTAAGCAAAAGCACCTCTTCCTTACAGAAATTGAATAACCTCTCCTTCCTCTACTTGGACCACAATGCCCTGGAATCTGTGCCTCTTAATTTACCAGAAAGTCTGCGTGTAATTCATCTTCAGGTATGATTGCTCTTTTCACATTATCTGACTTTAATTCAAATTATTATGGGTCAATCTTACGATTCATTAGGAAGCTCACTTATTTACACGTAAATTTTGCCCATCAAAAGTATTAATATTTAGCCAAATGTTCTCTCCTGCCCAGAAGCCCTGGTTCTATCCAGAGCACAACCAAAGGACCAGTAACACTAGGTGGGAGGTCTGCTCTTATAGTAGGATTTGTCTCCAGGTGTGCACTTGGCATCTCCTAGTTAATCTGACATGTGGATTTGAAGTTAGGGGACACTAAGACCTGTGGTTTATGTTTCCTTCTCCAAATAGCAGTAAACACTTGGTTTTGGAGACTTCCCAGCTGACTTTATTGTCCAACATCAACTTAGGGTAATAGAAAAGTGAAAAGGGAATAAAAATAAACTAAAAGTGGTCTTTTACCATCACAAGAATTCCCATTTTTTCTTTTTATTTCTTTAAAGTATATTTAAGGAAACAGTACCCATTTTGAGTTGACACTCTAGAATAGGATACTTTATCCAGCTATTATAATCTTATTTATACTCAGAAATTTGTTATATGGGTTTTGCTCTTAGAAATAGCCAGTAGTCTGTTCTTCCAAAGTAATACTGTAGACTTTAAAAAGGAAGGCTCAGATTGCTCAGCAAGGGTTTTTATTACCGTGAAGATATATACACAGTATGTACAGTATTTTAAAAATCACTTTTTAGATAAAATATTCTGTGAGATCTCATTACACAAAATACAAAAGGATGATTTCGGGTTTCTAAACAATTTTTCCCTTTTATTTTCTAGTTTAACAACATAACTTCAATTACAGATGATACATTCTGCAAGGCTAATGACACCAGTTATATTCGGGACCGCATTGAAGAGATACGCTTGGAGGGCAATCCCATCATCCTGGGAAAACATCCCAACAGTTTTATCTGCTTAAAAAGATTGCCTGTAGGGTCATACATTTAACCACTATCAATGCAGCACATAAGCTAAAGTACACACATACTTATAATCTGTCTCAACAATGTCTAAAGAAGCTTAAGTATTTAATATTAATTTTGTATCCTACTATGAAGGAACTTATGTTTTAAGCAAAGATGTTCAAAAAACCTTACATATAACAATGAGCAAAAAGTAACAGTGAATCTCTAAGTTCAAAACAAAGTAATGTGAAAATATTTGAACAGCATTACAAAATCCCTGCAGTTTATACTGGAGTACCATTTAAAAGGTATGTTTTTATATAAATACCCAAATTTAAGATGTATTATGAAGTGAAAGGATAAGTCCAAGAAACTTTCAACTGTTTGTCTTTCCTGGCTTCTACTGGATCCCTAAAGCATTTAAGGCATATGTTCCAAACACTTTGAAAAGCTAAATATTTCCAGGGACCTCTCACTTTTCTTTTATCATTCATACATTATTCATTATGAAGTAGGAACTCTGTTTTCTTTCTATTAAGGCAGCTACTATATTTTTACTTAGCCTCAGAAATAGGAATATAGTCTCATACCTAGGCAAAACTTTCCAAATAAAGCATAATTTTACTCTCTGATAAAGAGCTAATATAGTAATGTTCAGTTATTCTGCTTTGTGATCACACAATTAAAGGCTTTAGTAAAATAGTACAAAATTTTCCTTAATCTAAATATTAACATTCTAAGTCCACCATAAAACATTTTAGGAAGCCAAGCACATCAAAATTAGTATGCTTATAAAAAAACCTGAAAGTCCATCCTGTTTCTCAGAACATAGCCATAAAATTCTCCACTGTAAAAAGGCTTTCAATTATGATATATACTGCAAAATATTTTCTTTTTATACTATAGGAATGAGAATCTCATCAATAAATTTATCCAAATGTAAGACATGAAAACCAAGTGAATTCTGTGGTGTTACTACTACACACCACCTTCCCACCCACCCATACACATCCATGTTCTTGAGAATAGACCACACATTCACAAGAAAGCATCTCAGCAACATTTTCTAGAGACCCATAATTAACTGGTATGTTTAAAGATGAGAATTCATCTCCAATCTAATAGTGATGATAAAGTTCCTAAAATTACTTTCCTCTTGAGCAAACCCCACTCAAAAGTCTTAGTCTCCACACTGCTTTGGGGTTGCATATAAAATGATCAGTGCTTTAGAAACAAGAGTCTGAACTGTGTATATAAAAATTGCCGACATTGTTTCCAACATAAATTATGCATTAGAATCAAGTTGGTCTCTGTATACTATTCCCAGAACAAACACTATTGGTGGTTTTTCATTTGCTTCTGTTTTTTCCATATGTAGAATGACCTGTTTTTCAATTTTCCCATTTGTCAAGGTTGACCCCAAAATGAAATTTTTTCACTAAAACACCTGTGATGTCTTAACACCACAATAATTACTGCTACAACACTAACGCATTCACTGATTTTATTGTGGTAACTGGCAACAATAACTATTATACGGCTTTCTCATTTTGTGTGCGAGCCTCATTTCTCTGTGACTGAGAAAGCTCACTGAGCACACTGAACACGTCCAATATTCCCTTTATACATTCAAAGTGCTAGCATAATAGTGTGCACATCTAAATTGAATATACAGTAAATAGTGCAAAATAAAATCCATTTAAACAGAAGGGCTCTGTTTTATTTGGAAAAATAGAATATTTAACCTACCACAATCTTGAATAAATCAATAGAAATAAACTGTAACTTTATCTGGAAAAACAAACTTAATAAAGGATTGCTGAGTGGTGGAACCAACACTGGGGAAAGGGGTCAGTACTTTCTTCCCATTTCCAGATGTCAGAATAATAATGTATTCCTATGTTCTTTATATTACTAAACTTAAAGGGGAAAAGCACCATAAAATAACTCTCAAATTTTAGAGAATTTAAAAGCCAGTGGTTTATATAAAATAGCAATTAGGAAAGAGCACTGGTTTAAAAGTCTGAATTATGGAATTATCTTAAAAAATAGCTTTGAGACTTCTAGATAAGAAGATATGAACCTAGGTACCTGACAACCTTATATACACCTTTAAGTCACAAATAAAATAATGAAGTAAAATATATGCTGATCCCCATTACCTTAAATAGATATTGCTTCATTCTTGACACTGATAATGAAACAGAGGATTAAAATTAAAAATATTTTACCCCTACAAACATTCCTGAAAGAAACTAAAGAAGATATGCATAAATGGGAAGACATCTTGTGTTCAAGAATGGAAGACTGAATAGTTAATATGTCAGCACTACCCAAAACAACTTCAAAATGATAGGAACAGAATAAAGGGACAAAGCAGGTGATTGAACAGTTAATCCCACTATGGGATTGTAAGTAAAGGAAAAGTATGAGAGACCCCTGTAAGTTAATGATCGCTCAAGAAAGCAGGTTTGCTTAACCACAAAGCCAAGCATGCCTGCTTAGCAACAAAACCATGCAACAGAAACATAAGACATGCCCCCAAACAATAAACAATGGTGGCATGAGACCCACATCCTGACCAGTGAGCTCAGTAAGTTAATGACCCCTAGGACATGCTCTCTGCACACATAAAAAACAATAATTTATGGAAAGGTGACATTTCAAAGTGAAAGACCCTCATTGTATGGAGACCTGAAATAATATTTCCACAGTGCCATGACAGTCCTGGCTTGACCACGTAGAGACAAGAAAACTCCCCTGTCCAACCTAGAGGAGGAGTTAATGATGGAAGCGTGATATCTACTCAAGAATGAGGAAGAAGGTGGTCTTTTCCTCCTCCCCACTTCTCCTTTGATTATAAAACTGTAGCCAACTAAGTTCTCAGGGCGCATCACCCCCTAGCCCACCTGCTTTTAAGCCTCACAAGCATCCTATTCTAATAAATCACTTCTTAACTATCACTTTGTCTCTTGCTGAATTCTTTCCACAATGAGACATAAAGGACTGTAGCTCCTTGGAACCCCTCCGAAACGCCACCTAGTGGTTTCAAAAGCAATCCCTATCAAACTCCCAACGACATTTTTTGAAGAACTGGAAAAACCCACCAAAATTCATATGGAATCTCAAGGGACTCCGAACACCAAAAAGAAATTCGAAAGGAAGAACAAAACTGGAGGATTCACACTTCCTCATTTCAAAATGTAACTATAAAGCTACAGTAAACAAAAGTGTGATACTGCCATAAGGACAGACGTACAGACCAATGGAATAGAATAATGAATCCAGAAACAAACCTTTGCATATATAGTCAAATGATTTTTGACAAAGGTGTCAAGACCACTCAATGAGGAAAGGACAGTCTCTTCAGCAAGCGATGCTAGGAAAACTGGATATCCATATGTATAAGAATGAAGGTGGACTGCTGGCTTACAGAATATATAAAAATTAACTCAAACTGGATTAAACACCTAAACTTAAGAGCTAAACTATAAAACTCTCAGGAAAAAATAAAGAGAAAATTCTTTATGATGTTGAATTTGGCAATGATTTCCTGGATATGACACCAAAAACACAGGCTACAAAAGAAAAGTAAAGAAATTGGACTTCATCAAAATTAAAAATTTCTATGCATCAAAGGACACTATTGAGAGAATGAAGGAACTGCAAATTAGTGTTTAATGGGACAGATTTTTACTGGTGATGGTTGCACAACAATGTGATGTTTCTTTCCATTCTAGTAACCTTGTCACCAGCAAAGGACCAGCTCAAAGAAGCACTTTATCCTCTACAGGAAAAACACACCAATTATACTTCTACACTTGCCTTAAAAGCACCTAGAGGAAAATCAGTTTGAAAATGGGACTAGTGCTCACATTTCCCACAACCCATTCTAATGTATAAGGAAATGGCCGTATTAGGTGATTCATTACCATAACTGCCAGCAGACTCCTCAATCATTATTGTATTTTACCAATTCTGAAGAAGAGCTATTTAATTGTCCTGGTGCAAGAGCACCTGCAAGTAAACAACATAATCCTGAGCACTCCTCAAGGGACCACAGTACAGGTACAGTACAGGTACTGACATGTTTCATTCTAAAGAAAATCTTATGCTTGACAGATATTACTAGCTCAACCAAATAAAATGCAAATAATGATGATGATGATAAAAAAAAAAAAGAATCCAAAATAAATGAGAATTAGTACCAGTCATAAAAATAATAGTCAGGACTCAGGATTTTGAGGGAACCTGAACCTTGAGATATTATTTATGTTAACTCTTTCAGAACTGGTTTCTGTGTGCATCACTGCTGTCAATAATATGATACTATCTAACTAAGTAGGACCTGGGGGATTACAATGCAGCCAAATATAGTTCTAGTTATGACAGAAAACAAAGGGAATTAAAAAAAAGTCTCTGAATGTATATGTATCAGACCTAAGAAGCATTACTTTACAAGAATCAGACTCCAATATTTAAACTTGAAATATACAATAAATAAGAAGCTCAAAATACAGAGTGTGTCTCAGGAAGTAAAGATTACACTGTGACGTTACAAGGCTGCTATGCCTATGTCCTTCATTAGCATTTGGCATTTTACTTCAAGTGTCCTTGACAGATTAATTTTTCAAAGTGTGTACTGTAAAATAAATATATATTTTATATATATATATAAGACTATATTCTTTCAATATAAATGGTTAACTGACTTGTACAGAAGCATTCCTCCTTCATTTATTCCAAATAACTGCAAATCTAGAAGTCAATAAAAACATTTTCTATTGTTTGAAAACTTTAAGAATGTTATCTTAAACCCCCAAATTAACATCAGCTTCACTTTCCATATACGTTTAAATTGAAAGACTTTAGACTCTACCTTGAAACGTTTAAATGTGCGCTTACGATATTCACACCATTCCACAAAGAAGTGTAGGCTTCGGAAAAACATAAACAGATCTCTTCTTTCTTCTGCTCTGTAAAAATAAAAGGGTCTATGATTAATAAATATTGTTTATTATCGTTCATTTAAGTGCTCCATCTGGCTTTATATTATTACTGCTTTTTATAGATCTGAAACTAAAGCTAAAAAAGTACTTAATATATTTCTATACACTGAACTCTGCCCTTTGGAGTATGTGCCCCTGTGTGATTTCTCAGGCTGGAATTCCCTTTTCTCCATCTTCAAATGTTTAAATCCTACCCAGCTTTCAAGATATCACACAAATGCCACTTTCTCCTTGATATCTCATTTGATGACCTGTGGTATAATAAAGAATATATCTGGTCTTTGTCACTAGTTCCTAACAGAGCTTCAAACACTCTTGGAATTCCTGAGTGACAAGAGTGCCTTTGTTATGCTAATGAGGTGAATCAAGGTGGTCCCTACGTAGCCTTAGGATGGGAACTGTTCACCAGAAAGACCAACCACATGATTAAAAAGTTGGAACTGTGGGCTCACCAGTTCTCCAGGGAAGAGAGGAGAGCTAGAGGAGTTTAATCACATGGCCAATCATGATGCCTATGTAAGGTAACCCAAATAAAACGTCTGGACAACAAAACTCAGTGGCACTTTCAGGTTGGTGAACATGTGGATGTGCTAGGAGGCTGATGTGCCCAGATTCCATGAAGAGAGGGCACAGAAGCTCTATGTCTATCCTCCTCCCCCAGCCCCCACGGCACCCCACCCCACCCCTAGACCTTGGTCTATGAATTGTTTCCATTTGGCTGTTTCTGGGTTGTAACTTTTACTGAAGTCTAGCAGTCTTATGGAGAACTCTGCCCTTAACCTGTGGGTCTCTGCTAAATCTGGGTAGTGTCAGAATTGAACTGAATTACAGGACACCCAGTTGGTGTCACAGAATTATTGTGTCTCACCACCACACCATATGTCCTATTCCAAAATAGCTAGAAATAATTTCATTCCTATGCCTATGAGCTCCCATAGGAATTTATCTCAATTCTCTTAATACTATACCTATTGTTATATTGACACCTACAAACACTTCTGAGCAACTTATAGGCAAGATGCATGTGTTCATTTAATCATTCATTCAATAAATGATTGTGGGAGTAGAGTTCCCATTCTAGTCACGGTAGAGTAAGCACATTGAACCTGAATGTTCCCATTAATTACAATTTAGAAACATGGAAATAACACATAAAGCAAATATTGGAAGATTCTGATATGTGGACAGAAGAAGCAAAACAGGTAGAGACTTCAGGAATTAAGGGAGGACCAGATAATGAGTTCCTTGGGGTTCATTTTTACCTCTTGTACATCGCAATCTGGATGCTAGAGCAGACTGAAATTAAAAAAACAAACAAAAAGGCCGGAAAGACTGCTCCTTCTAGCCAGCAGAAGCCATACAAGATGAGGAGTGAAGACACTGGTTTTAGTGATGATTATTTGGACTTGACACCAAAAGCTAAGGCAACAAAGCAAAAATAAACACGGGACTACATCAAACTAAAAAGTCTCTGCACAGTAAAGGAAACCATCAACAAAATGAAAAGGCAACTTGGCGAATGGGACAAAGTACTTGCAAACCAAATATCTGATGGGGTTAATATGCAAAATATATAAAGAACTCACATAACCCAATAGCAAAAAATCCAAACAAGCAGATAAAACAGGCAGAGGATCTGAATATAAGCATACTTCAGAGATATTGCAGATTCAGTTCCAGACCACCACCAAAAAGCAAACATCGCAATAAAGCGAATCGTACAGATTTTTTTAGTTTCCCGCATATTAAAGTTATGTAACACTATAGCTTCATGTCTAAAAAAAAAAAAAAAAAAAATCAAGGTACAGGTCTTCCCCGGTGGCACAGTGGTTAAGAATCCACCTGCCAATGCAGGGGACCCGGGTTCGAGCCCTGGTCTGGGAAGATCCCACATGCCATAGAGCAAATAAGCCCGTGCGCTGCAACTACTGAGCCTGTGCTCTAAAGCCCACGAGCCACAACTATGGAGCCCACGTGCCACATCTAGAGAAGCCCGTGCACTCTAGAGCCCATGCTCTGCAACAAGAGAAGCCACCGCAATGAGAAGCCCACACACCGCAACGAAGAGTATCCCCCACTCGCCGCAACTAGAGAAAGCCCGTGTGCCACAATGAAGGCCCAACACAGCTAAAAATAATAAATAAAAATAAATTAATTAATTTAAAAAAACAAGGTACATATCTTAATTAAAAAATACTTTAGGAGTGGGGGAGAAATAGGTGCAGGGTACAAACATCCAGTTATAAAATGAATAAGCCACAGAGATGTAATATACAGCATAAGGAATATGGTCAATAAAATTGTAACAACTTTGTGTGGGAATGGATGGTTACTAGACTTACCATGGGAAACATTTCATAATGTATGAAAATGTCAAAACACTATGTAGTACACCTGAAACTAACATAATATTGTATGTCTACTATATTTCAGCTTAAAACTAAGTTTCTATAAGATATAAATACACTTGTTATATATCTGGACCCAATCAGTCCATATCTGATTGAGGACTCCTGAATATTAAACTGATCTAATATTCACAATAAAGAGGAAAAAGTTCACAAGAAAAAAAATCACTTTACTGCTAAAAACTGCTATCCATCATCTGAGCATTCAGCAAATCTTTTTGCTGGTGGAGGGTCTCTCCTCGGCATTGATGGATGCTGACTGATGAGGGATGTTTACTAAAAGTTGGCATGGCTGTGGCAACCACCACCCTTATTCTTCAAATAAGACGACAATGAAGCTTGATGCATCAAGTGACTCTTCCTTTCATGAACGATTTCTCTGTAACATGCAATGCTGTTTGATAGCATTTCACCCACAGAACTTCTTTCAAAACTGGTGTCAATACTCTCAAACCCTGCCACTGCTTTCTCAACTAGGTTTATGTCACAGTCTAAATCCTTTTTTGTCATTTCAACAATCTTCACAGCATCTTCACTAGGAGTAGATTCCATCTCAAGAAACCACTTTCTTTTTCTTCATCCATAAGAAGCAACTCCTCATCCATTAAAAGTTTTGTCATGAGACTGTAGCAATTCAGTCACATCTTCAGGCTCCACTTCTAATTCTAGGTCTCTTGCTATTTCCACCACACTTGCAGTTACTTCCTCCACTGAAGTCTTGAACCCCTCAAAATCATCCACGAAGGTTGGAATCAACTTCTTCCAAACTCCTGTTAATGTTGATCTTTTCACCTCTTCCAATGAATCATGAATGTTCTTTCTTTTTTCTTTTGGCTACGTAGGGTCTTAATTGCGGCATGTGGGATCTTTGTTGAGGCATGCGGGATCTTTTGTTGCAGCACACAGGATTCCCTCTAGCTGTTGCGTGGGGGTTTTCTCTTCTCTAGCTGTGGTGTGCAAGCTCCAGGGCACATAGGCTCTGTAGTTTGCAGCACGCGGGCTCTCTAGTTGAGGAGCGCACAAGCTCAGTAGTTGTGGCACGTGGGCTTAGCTGCCCCATGGCATGTGGGAACCTAGTTCCCCAACCAGGGGTCAAACCCACGTCCTCTGCATTGGAAGGTGGATTCTTTACCACTTGACCACCAGGAAAGTCCCATGAATGTTCTTAATGGCATCCAGAATGGTGAATCCTTTCCAGGTTTTCAACTGACTTTGCCCAGATCCATCAGAAGAATTCACTACCTATGGCAGCTACAGCCTCACAAAATATATTTCTTAAATAATAAGACTTGAAAGTTGAAATGACGCCTTGATCCATGGGCTGCAGAATGGATGTTGTGTTAGCAGGCATGCAAACAACATTAATATCATTGTCCATCTCCATCAGAGCTCTTGGGTGGCCAAGTGCATTGTCAATGAGCAATAATATTTTGAAAGGAATCTTTTTTCTAAGCAGTAGGCCTCAACAATGGGCTTAAAATATTTAGTAAACCATGTTGTAAACAGACATGCTGTCATCCAGGCTTTCCATTTATAAAGCACAGGCAGAAGAGATTTAGTATAATTCTTAAGGGCCCTAGGAATTTTGGAATGGTAAATGAACACTGGCTTCAACTTAATGTTACCAGTGGCATTAGCCCCTAACAAGAGAGTCAGCCTGTCCTTTGAAGCTTTGAAGCCACCGATATGAGGCTGTTTTGTCTACATTGAAAATCTGTTGTTTAGTGTAGCCACCTTCATGGATTGTCTTAGCTGTATCTTCTGGATAACTTGCTGCAGTGTCTACATCAGCCCTTGCTGCTTCACCTTGTACTTTTATATTATGGAGATGGCTTCTTTCCTTAAACCTCATGAACCAAACTCTGCTAGCTTCAAACTTTTCTTCTGTAGCTTCCTCACCTCTCTCATCCTTCATAGAATTGAAGAGAGTTAGGGCCCTGATGTGGATTACACTTTGGCTTTAAGGAAATGTTGTGGCTGGTTTGATCTTCTATCCAGACCACTAAAACTTTCTCCATAAGTGCAATAAAGCTGTTTCACTTTCTTATTTGTGTGTTCACTAAAATATTACTCTTGATTTCCTCCAAGATAGACAGATAGATATACACACACAGGGAGATACATATCCCTATCTATCTATCTAATGGAATATTATTCATCCATAAGAAGAAGGAAATCCTGATATTTGTAACAACATGGCTAGACCTCGAGGACATTATGCTAAGTAAAATAAGACAGAGACAGAAAGATAAATACTGTATGATCTCACTAGTATGTGGAATCTAAAAAACAAACAAACAAAAAACAAACTCGGTTGCGGAGAACACATTGGTGGTTGCCAGAGGCAGGGGGTTATGAGGTCGGCAAAATGGGTGAGGGTGGTCTAAAGGTACAAACTCCTAGTTATAAAATAAGTAAGTCATGGGGATGTAATATACACCATGGTGACTGTAGTTAATAATACTGTATTGTATATTTGAAAGTTGCTAGAAGAGAAAATGTTAAAAGTTCTCATCAGAAAAAAAAAAAGTAACTATGTGGTTATACATGTTAACTAGA